CTTTTCCAACCATAATAATTCTATGGTTCTGTGAAGTATCTCAGCTTTTTTTCATAGGAGGGGTGTTCCAGCCCTCCTTTGGAACCACTCTAGCTGGTCCAGAACTTTCTTGTGATAACTTCCTTCTTCAAGTGATAGAAGAGCCAATATGGGGAAGGGTTGTTTTGGACCTTGTTCTCACCAACAAGAGGGGGTTATGGGGAATGTGAAGCTCAAGGTCAGCTTTGACTGCAGTGGCCACAAAATGGTGAAGTTAGAGATCCTTGGGGCAGTGAGGAGGGGACACAACACGCTCACTGCCCTGGACTCCAAGAGAGCAGACTTTGGACTTTTCAGGGATAACTCAGGAATGAGGCATCCCAGCAAAGAGGAAGTCAGTCAAAAATGCTAGGAGGTGTGAATGGATGAACAAGGAGCTCCTAGATGAATTCAAATGCAAAAAGAAAGCCTACAGAGGGTGGGAGCAGGAACAGGTAGCCTGGGAAGAATATAGAGAAATTGTCCAAGCAGCCAAGGAACAGAGGAAAGCTAAGGCTGTGATAGAATTAAACTTGGCCAGGGACATCAAAAACAACAAGAAAAGCTTCTGCAGGAATGTTGATCTTAAAAGAAAGACAAGAAAATTTGAGCCCTCTCTGGAAGAAATTGGGTCACCTCATCACCTGGCATCTAGAGAAAGCTGAGGTACTCAGTGATGTTTTTGCTTCTGTGTTAACCAGTAATTGCTCAAGCCACATCATCCAAGTTGCAGAAGGCAAAGTTCTCTCCAGGAACTGGGAGAATGAAGAACCACCCACTGTAGGAGAAGATCAGGTTTGAGACCATTTAAGGAACTTAGAGGTGCACAAATCCATGGGACCTGATGACATCTATGAGGGAACTGGCAGAGGGAATGGCTAAGCCACTATCCATTATACTTAAGAAGTCATGGCTGTCTGGTGAAGTTGCCACTGTAAAAGGGGAAGTGTAACCAGAGATGTTTAATATCTCTTTAGCCAACAGGAGCAGTGGGTTCAGGGGTATCCTCAGCAAGTTTGCTGACACCAAACCACATGGTGCAGGTGCCATGCTGGAGGGAAAGGATGTCACCCAGAGGGACCTGGAGAGGCAGAAGAGATGGGCCCATGTGAACCTCAGGAAGCCCAGTATGGCCAAGTGTAAGGTCCTGCACGTGGTCCTGCACGTGTCTCTGGGCAATCCCAAGCACAAGTACAGGTTAGGTGGAGAATGGATTGAGAACAGTCCTGACGAGAAGGACTTGGGGGGGTTACTGGATGAGAAGCCCAGCATGTTCCAGCCATGTGTCCTGGCAGCTGGGTTGATCACCCAGTGTGGGCAGCAGGGGAGGGAGGGTTTCTGTCCTTCTGCCTCATTCAGGTAAGACCCACCTGGAACCTGTATTCAGCTCTGAGACCCCCAATGTAAGGTCAATGTGGACCTGATGGAGTGAATCCAGAGGAGACCATGAAGATGCTCCAAGAGCATCCCCTACTCTGGAGACAGGCTGAGACAGCTGGAGGTGTTCAGCCTGGTGAAGAGAAGGTTCCAGGAAGACCTTCTAGCAACCTTCCAGTGCCTAAAAGGGACTGGAAGTAAGCTGGAGAGGGACTTCTGACAAGGACAAGAGGGAATAGCTTCCCGCTGACAGGGAGCAGGTTTAAATTGGATATTAGGAAGACTTTCTTCCCTGTGAGGGTGCTGAGGCTCTGGCACAGGTTGCCCAGAACAGCTGTGGCTGCCCCATCCCTGAAAGCATTCAAGACCAGATTGGATGGAGCTTGGAGCAACCTAGGATAGTGGAAGGTGTGGGTGGGGAGGGATGAAAGGGTATTTGTTTTTCTCCTGGTTGGTGAGTTTGACAGCAGAAGCACGTAGATGGGAGACAGGCGTTCAGCTGAGTCCATGGTTTGTTTATGTTAGCAGAAACGGAAACAAGGATAAACTGAGGACTGCAAATCTCGTTATTGAGGTTGTCTTTTGGATGTCTGAGCTGAAGCTTGTGTTGGTGAAGGGCTTTTAAATATTGCAGGAGCAGAAATTTCTGCAGGAACTTAAATGTAGACTCTATAATGACCCATAATCATTCCTTGTTGAAAGGGGTATGAATATTCAAATGGCATAAATTTCTTCAAGCCCAAATCTTTACCTCAAGCATTTATTTTATTTATGGTACAGGTTGACAGGTCAGACTTGGAAAAAAAGACATAAGAAACAACTTAGGTCCTGTCCTGAGCTGCCAATATGGGTACTTTCTGATTAATTGAAACATCATCAGGAAAAGAAAGAAACATCTGCTCTTAAGCTGCACTGATCTACATAGCAGAAATCACAGCACATCTTATGATACTCACCTTAGCACAAATTCATGCAAAGGCTTATAATAACCCTTCTTGGAGAATCTCCCACTTCTTTTGCAATTTTAAGTGTACAGATTGGTATATCTGCACTCATATACTTATGCTCTTCTTCATGTATCAGAAGTCACCTCACAGTCACCATGACCTCTTCATGTATCAGAAATGACCTCTGAGACCCACCCCAGTAGTTCAGCTACACCTCCAGCCTCTTATTTCTGTGACAAAAATCTTTGTCCCTTATAATATCTTGCCCTGTCTTATGACTCTCAGGCATCAGCTCTATCACACTATCACAGAGATTGTTCCTCTGCTTTCAGAATCTTACCAGCACATCCGCCAAATGCTTTTCGTAATACTTACTTCCCTCTTAGTGGCTTGCCCAATGTATTCCTCTTAGGCATTTCTTACAAGATTCACACCATCACTAGGGACAGATAAAAGCTGACATTCCCATTGTACAGCTGGGGTAGCTGCAGCACAGACATACCAAGCAATCCATCCCAGGTCGTGCAGTGAGTCGGTGGGAAAGCCAGCAATAGAATCCATAAGTCCTGAATCCAAGTTCTTTAAGTGCTTTGACTAGTCCAGATTCTCTCCTTAACACCCTTGTCACATCACATTATTTATAGGAGATGTATTCATATAGCCACTAAGACATCAAAATTTTCTAATTATATCTAGTCATGTCAAATGACAATTATGCCCTTAGTTCAGTTTGCCAGACAATGCTTAACCAAAGAGGGTTTGCCAAAATATTTTTGACCGAAGAAAGAGTAGGCATCTGTAGCATCTGCAGGCGAGATCGTATAAAACGTCCCTGCACCACGTCTGCCCTGGCTCCACAGAAAGCTCCAAGGTAAGAGGATGGGGTCTGCAGGCTGGCAGGAAGGAAGGGGATGGCAGCCTCGTGTGCCACCACATTCCTGCTGCCTCCCGTGCTCCTGTCCAGGAGGGGAATCCATTATAAATCTGTTTTCAAGGCACCTGCGTATTTTCACTTTTGATTTCTGTGCAGCAGTAATTTAGGAACTGCTATTTCTGTTTACAGTTCTGACCAGCTGCCAGCCCACAAGCCACACAACTGGTGTCACAAAAGGTAAGAAGCTGATTTACTAATTCTTAGGGGCAGAGACAGATCCTTTGGGGTGGGGTGTCTGTATGGCTGAGTGAATGTCACTATTTCACTGTATATTCTCAAGACCACTGTAGTCACAGTATAAGGTGGTGGGGTACTGAAGGCTGGTAAGATTTTCAAGTGAGTAATTGAAATATAGTCCAGATTGTAAGGGATCTCATAAAGTCATCTGGTCCATTCTTTAAGGAGCTGTGTTTGAAATCTCTAACTATTCATGGCAGGCCAGAAAATCCCAATGGGGACATTCTTCACTTCTGCTTAACTCACCTAACAGGGAGTGAGGTGTACTGCCTTCCTATCATTGCTGTTGTAGCTGGGTAACTGAACTAAGAATACAGCAGGAAAACTGCAAAATTCAGCTTTTTGTCTCAGAATATGTAATGTGATATTTTGTCCAAAATTTTCCATGGAGTCACTAAAGCAGTAAGACTAGAAAGTGCTGTAATACAAGAAACCAAGCTCTGATTGTCACCTCTGTAAAAGGCAGTGCTGCCCTTTGTTCTCTGCTCTGCTTGTTGTCTACCTCACAAGAAAAGGAAAATGCAGCTCTCATCTTCTGGAAGCCACCACCTGTTCCTCCAGAGACCTATGAATAAATGTCATGTTATATTTTCTCATTTTAGTACAAATAAACACAAGATTAAATATAAATATTGTTGTATAAATATCAGGTACCTAACTCTATACAGAAAGAGATATTTAAATGTTTTCCTAAGATGCCCGCTGTTTGGTTTTTTTCCCCTCTGGGCAGGAGGAAGAAAAAAAATATTTCAGAGAAATTAATACAGGCTTTAAAATTCCTTATTTTTAAATACTTTATTAGAGCTTTAAATCTTTGAACTTTGTTTTTCTCTAAAATTCTAGTAATATTTAAAAAGCAAAAGGAAGTACTAGAAAAGTAGCTATCTCAGTGTTGTTTGAACAGCATTAATTTTCTTTTAACAGTCATGCTGCAATTCATGCCTGGTTTAAAGCAGTTAATAAAATTAGAGACAATTGTATTGTTAATATAATTATAAAAAACTCTAAATACTGAAACTGAACCATTAAGAAGCTTGACTTTTCATTATGCAATTCTGACAGTGGAGTATGAGCATTCTGAGCTTTGTGAAAAACTATCAGTTTTGATGAAAGAGCATTATCATAATTCCAAATTAATATGAAGAGTGCCTAAGCAGTTGAGAGGATTTTTGAGGTTCTTAGTTCCACAGTACAGTGCCTGAATAGTTGAATTCTAAGTGTCCATAGATTATTTAAATGTGATTTCAGTATAAACCAAATAATCTCCCAAAATATAATTTTGGAAGATTTTTTTTAGAGTTATATTGAATTGCACCAATGCAAAAATTCGCAATTCCTTCCAAAAGGCTACAAGCAGTATTAATATTAAAATATTAATAACTATATTATTTTTTTCTCCACATGTTTCTCTTTTCTTCTCCTAAGAAGTGCTTACTTTTTTGGCAAATTTGATCAACATATCTCCTCTTCCACAGAGTTCTCTGCTGACAAGCCCTTCCATAACGTGCAGCCATGTCTACGGACGCCGAGATGGCTGTTTTTGGGGAGGCAGCTCCTTACCTCCGAAAATCAGAAAAGGAGAGAATTGCAGCCCAGAACAAACCTTTTGATGCCAAGACATCTGTCTTTGTGGTTCATGCAAAGGAGTCCTTTGTGAAAGGGACAATCACAAGCAGGGAATCAGGCAAAGTCACTGTCAAGACTGAAG